TGCCTCACTGGAAGGGAGAGCAGCTCAGTGACAAGGAGGTCATTTTCATTGAGATTATATCATTAGGACAGATTAAACACTAAAGACCTTTTATCCTTAACCTTAATCATTATCTGCTTGTTTTGATGCTCAAATGGATGTGCGTGACTCTGACTAAACATTGTCCTGGGAATGTTCCCTATGATACAAAATACAAAAATCTACAAGGAAGTATAGCATAGCAACAAAACATTTGTAGCTTTACCTGGATACAAGGATTTCAAAACACCATGGATTACTTGCAAAAGTCTATCTCTTGCTCAAAATGCTTAGTTCATCTCTCAAAAGTAAACATCTGTGTCAATGAACATGTCAGTGCCATCAGAATGACAAGTCCTTGTGTCATTGTGTACGGATAATTGCTTAGTCATGTTGTCAATATAACAGTGTACTCTGGAGGATGTTCTAATGTAGACTATGGCTAAAGTTTTGATGATAATTATTGTAAATTGTAGGTTACACCTTAGTGTATGTGGGCGTTTGATTGCAAGAAACTGGACAAGATTCACATTTAAGCTTTGACTGCTTGTACTGTAATTTGTTGACAAACCATGTCATTGCAATTCAGAAAGGAACAGACAGCACTGCATAGCACAAAGAAAAAAAAAGAGAAAAAACAAAAGTAGATACAGTATGTGAACAGAACAGATTTAGAAAAAAAAAGTCTAATGGAGATGTAAATAAATATGCCTCATAAAAATATAAACATAATATGACAATTTGTGTGTGATTCACCATAATATATAGCCCCAAATCAATATCTGCCTATTTAATTGCCTAGTCTTAATTTGAAATCATATTTGTACTCAAATACACAGGCCACAAGAAGTAATTAAGTTTGTTTTTTTGCTTTATTTTACTTTTACTCATGACATGCTACTTGGCAACATAGGATTGCATTCATTATGCTAAGCTAAGCTAGCGTCGGTGCTGCCAAACTACGACAATGCATCATAGACAGTAAAAAAATGGACAGAGCGACCCCATTGATTTCAACGGAGAAGACTTGAAGCCCGATTTTTGCACTTCCTGTCTGATGTCTCAGCGACTGCGCAGGCTCAAACTGAGCGTGACGACAGTCTGACAATTGTAAATTGTCCCATTGCTTTATGGACTCTCTATCTATGGGCTATCTAGCTCCCATAGACAGTAAAAGGCTTCTTCCTTGACTTTGTGCCTTCATGCCCCCCTGATTGCCTCATAGACAGTAAAAGATTGCCTGCGAGCTTCTCCTCCTGTCTATTGTGCGACAGAAAGTTGCGAAGTGATGATGCAATCGTTAGCCTACTTTTCACAAAAACGGCATATGTAAGATACAAAGTAATGTCAGTCAGTCAGTCAGTCAAATATATTTATATAGCGCTTTTCACAATACAGATTGTATCAAAGCTGCTTCACAGTATCAAGACAACATACCAGTGTTTGTTTATTCATGAAAAAAGACAATCAAGATTGGTAGAGCTGATCAATGGTATGATGGGTCATTTTATTTGAATATCCCTAATGGAGCGTTTTATACTTTGTCGTGTTTCTTTAGAAATAAATAATGGACAAATGAAGTCTTTGGACACCTCAGATGTAAAGTTATTCACTGTCAAAGTGAAGCCAAAATGAATGGGCTGATGGATTACCCCCTTGCAAACTATTTTAATGTAGGGGACACTGTGAATAAGCCCTATTTCAAAAAATGGTGGAGTGTTCCTTTAACCCTCATCTATTCCGAGAAGTATATTTTGATATTTCTCAACTTTCACACAATGATTGGCCAACTGATCAATGACTCACAAAAAATGTCATTTAGAAACAGCTCCAGCTTGGCAATGTCCCAAATTGAATATTTTGTTTAAAGTAAATCCTGCTGGAATTTGATGGCGTTCATTTTATGAGTAGTAGGTACCTCCACAAAACAACAAATCGAGCACAGTATAATGCCAAACTCAACTGGGATGTACCAGACGACAGGGTTTATTTAATGGTCTATGATGCAAAACATTGTTTTTCTGATTGGCTTATATTGTTTATATGTGTTTTATAATGTAATAATGGTAACAATGAATACTTGAACATTGTCTCCTAGAGACAAGTTGTTGTTTTTTTTTTATCAGTGTTGTCACTAGTTCTGCTGCATGCAAATGGACTGTAACTAATTGTGTTTAACCACTGAAACATTCTGTCTTAATATGTAGAATATGTATTTTTGCTTGAAGGGGCATTATACTTGCTGTCTGTCAGATGTCAAAACATCTGGCAAAAGAAGAGCTTTAGTCACAGTAATTATTATCAGGATGTCAGAGCCTTTCACAGAAGAACAACAAAACGACAGCAGTGGGACCAGATTGTTGCCCAGAGGACGTCTCAAATAATATAACCCTTTTATGTTATTGTCTAATGCGAATAGACTCGTCAGTGCGTGTAATACTGTTAAAAAACTCAACGTGGTAGCAAAGAAGAGCATAACAACAAACTTGACTTTTAGGTTGAAGAAAAACTAAATCTTTTAGTATTCCATTCAATTTATTTGTAAAGTGCTTTGCGTATTATTCTAAAGCAGCTTTACAAAAAATAGTGGCAAGGAAAAAGGTCTAAGATGTTTGAGAAGACTAAATAAATAAATGCAAGTTATGTAATGTAGCTGCATAGTAAACGAAAATGATTAAAAGTTTGTTGTTTACTTGAATATGAATACAATGACTAAAACAGGAATCCATGCAAAATGCATTTATTTTTATTAAACCACAGAACAAACAATTTGAGTTCAAGGTCTATGGGGGAAGATACAATGTGAAGGAAAACAGGATTTGAGATCCACATACTGTATACTGACATATTCATGCTGCATCTGTACAAGGCTTCGTAATTAGTAGGGGGGCGTATATTGATTTAATGGGAATGGTAATTTAGCTGGCAGTGACTCGCACAATGTCTTTTGTGTGCTGGTGATTGTGCGGATTGCAGCAGCAGTATTATATTAGAACACATTTATCATTCATTTACTCTTTGAATGGGGAGAGGTGAATAGGTAAATAGGTAATTAGGCCCTCAGCCTGTGAATTGTCTGTGGAGCTGATGTGTTTTTTTTTTTTTTTTTTCTGATGGCACAGTGAATGTGCATCTATTCTTTAAATGGATAGGTTTTTTATGTCAAGAGTTTTATGTCAAGAGTTTCTGATAACAGTCTAGTTGAAATGTAGACTGTAGACCACTTTAGACCTTTAAGATATTAATATCATGAAATATGTCTCCCTTAAATGTGATTTTATTTCTTGTAATTAAGATTTTTTTCATCTCAAATTTGATTTTGTTTCTCATAAAAATTATTTTATGTCTCATAATTACACCTTAGTTTCTCATTTTAAGTCTCACATTGCGATTTTATATTTCACAATGTGATTTCTTTTTTCATAATTACCCGTTTCATTTTTTTTTTTTTTTTTTTTTTTACGCTGGGGATGAAATGTGTTTCCATTGTTGTGTGAAGTATTTTTTTTGTAAACTAATAATCAATACTAAATACTAATCAATACTGATATTGAACAAATCCTAAATTGAAAAACATTAACAAATTTCAGCAACACAATGAAATATTGATTTAATGTAGAATTGGTGGGTCATTTTAAAAAATCGATCTGCCTGTAATATTCTTGGAAAATGACTCGGTTACTGTAACCTTTGTTCCCTGAAAAGGTAACGAGATGCTGCGTCGCCTAGCCATATTTCTGGCGGGCCTGTGATTGACTTGCTTCAGACTATCAAAAGCTGACATTGTGTAGTCTGGGTGCGCTTTATAGCTTCCTGGTCATAAAGTCCCGTCACACCACTGGACTGATTTCACACATGCTTCGGGACGCAATCCTGTGAGAATCCTTGATGAAGGATGAGTGACTGTCATATAAAAGACACACATATGGCCAGAGACTACTTTACACGCTACATATTCACCTAATTCAATGAAGTCAGTGACAGAGGCAACATGTTAAGTGAGCTCTTACAGAGACCCGACAGGGCATTTAAATCTCTGGTTAAAATGTCAGTATGACCAGGCAGCTGAAAGCACATAAAGCAGACAAGGTAAGAAAGTAGAGGTCAAATCAATAGAAAATGGTTATGGAGTCTTTTCAGGCTTTCAGCTGTTGAGAGGCAGCTGCCAAATTCCAAATTCCCTGCGGGCTGGACTGTCCGTCGTATTCATTGGCTGAGGATTGAGCTTGGCACAGAAGTGGCTGACGGATTGAAAAGAACTTATTGAACTTAAAGGGCACATATTATGCAAAATTCACTTTGATGCATAGTTTATGATAGTCAGTTGAATATTTGTTATAAAACAAAGCTTAAAAAAGGTAATAAAAGTATACCCACTCCCTCGGTGGCCCGCCCACGGGCCGGTGCTTCTTAAGAGGTTTTAATTTGTATGGGATAGAAAGAATGATGATATTGCGAAGCATTTATATCTTGGTTATCATTTTTGTTTGGAAGAAACCGCATAACATAAATCAAATAAGGAAATCAAAATATAGGTAACATCTTTTTACTGTCAAATTAAAAGAGAACAGGCTCATTTGAAAGTGATTGCAAGAGATAACGCTAACGTAGCATTTATACAACACACTTTTATTTAGATTTTCGCTATTACAACATCATGCACAAGGGATGTAAAAAACAGGCTCTGTACAGGGATCTTTTTTTTTAAATTGTTTTTGCAAGTCAGTTTAGACGGGTAGAGTGTAAAAGCTGATGAAGAGGTTACTCCAAGGGTTTAAGAGATACTTGTCACTGTCAGACTGCAGACAAACTCTTCTGCTCTCTCTATCACTCACAGATGAATAAAGAAAGACTCTCCATCTTAACTTTAAACTTAGGCACCTCTCACAAGCAAGCTATGTCAAATGTCTTTTCTTTCCTCTGTTTTTTTTTTTGTCTTTGCTGAGAGAAATGATTGTGTGTGTGTGTGTTGTTTTGTGCAGGAGTGTCAGCGGAGCAGGCCTGTGTAAGACAGGGAGAGGAAAACTTCAGAGAAGATGAGGAAGAGCCGGAGTGTTCTAACTGTGTCACCTAATGAGGTGAGTACTGGTAATATATCACATATTTTTGAAAACGACTAATTGGTTGACTAATTTGTGTCATACAGCTCTTTGGAATATTTGATCCTGATTGGTCATGTGCAGCATTGAGCGGTCAGATGTTTTGGAATTATTTAATTGGTTTTGTACAATGAATATTTTTGCTTAATTGTTTCCACACTTAGTTCCGGACCTCAAATTTGATTGGCAGAACAGTGCTCAAAAAGTGACTTTTAGTCAAAAGCATACGGAGCCGTCCCGCTCTCGGTACTTTGATATGATACATCGATCAGTCTGAGTAGCGCCGCTTCAAGTCGAACATGCGTTTTGTTCGTGCATTCCACAAAACTTTCAGTCTGTTCTCTTGGTGGTGATTTTTCATTGATAATTTAAGCAGGTTACGTCATTTTAATTTCAGTCTTTGTCTTAGTCTTGGTCAGTAAGGGGGTGGTGATGGTGCATAGGATAAGACACATGCCTTTGGTGTGAGAGACTTGGGTTCGAATCCACTGTGAGACACCAATGTGTCCCTGAGAAAGACTCTTAATCCCTAGTTGCTCCAGAGGCGTGTGACCTCTAACATATATAGCAATTGTAAGTCACTTTGGATAAAAGCGTCAGCTAAATGAATAAAAATAAATAAATACTTAATCATTGGCACTATCTAATAAAGCTATTCTTGGTCTGCTTCCCCATATCTTCAATCTTACATAAAAAGGAAAGGGATAGGAAGATATTGTATTTGTTCTGAGGACTTAGTATTGTTATCTGTACCTCAAATCCGGACTGAATTGGGAAAAGAGGCATTTAAGTATGCGGCCCCCTGCGCTTGGAATCAGCTGCAAAATGTCCTGAATCTTCAGGAGCCGGTTTCGAGTGTTGATTTTATATTACTTTTAAATGACATGGAGGCTACACAAACTGGTTGTAGATGTTATGCTTCACTATTCTGACGATCCTTGCTGTTGTTTATCGCTTGTGATAAATAGACATGAACCTGTGATTTTTATGACCTTGTAACTCACTATTTTTTAACGGCACAAATTGTTATATGTTTTATGTTCATGTAATTGTGCTGCTGCCTATCTTGGCCAGGACGCTCTTGGAAAAGAGATTTTTAATCTCAATGAGTTTTCTTTCTGGTTAAATAAAGGTAATATACATATTATTATAGCAGAATTTGCGCTGAATATAGTGTAATCAGACTTTAGCTATGAACATTTTATAAGTAACATAAATAAGCACAAATGTCAGTCAATGTCAAAACACCTCCAGGGCCCAGAAAACACAGCAGACTACAGAGGGTTAAAGGGTAAGTTTACCCAAAATTGAAAATTCTGCCAGTTATTACTCACCCTCATGTTGTTCCAACCCGTGAGACTTTCGTTCATCTTTGGAACACAAATTAAGATATTTTTGATTAAATCTGTTTGCTGGATCACTCCTCCATAGGCTTCTTAAGAGATCGAAACTGGCCAGCCCAAAAGTTATGAAAGACATTGTTAAAATAGTCTGAGTGGCTACAGTGGCTCAATCTTAAGTTTATCAAGCGACGAGAATAAAAAAAAATATTCATTTCCTTTTTCTGTGGGCCTCAAGATCTCATGTAGTGAAACTGCGTAAAGCTTCTATGCTGTACGTCACACATAGGCTCACTATTGGCTGATGTCCCCAATTTCCAAGCTCAGAGCCCTCCTACCCACATAGCACACCAAATACGCATTAACCATTTACTCTCTGATAATTCGTATCCGTGAATCAGACAGTGGGGCAGTGAAACCGAAATTACCCAGTGAGTCAGCCCTTGAGCTCCTCCTGTCCGATTTTAGGGAAAAATTGGGTCCATCTGAGATGTCCAATAATGATTGAATGAATCATTGAATCAACTGATGTATTCAAAAATACTGATTCACATAGGAACTCTATCCATCCTCTAACCATTTCTTACGAGTTATTACCTAAAATGGCTGGAGGTGCGTAATAATGGTTCTTGAGAGCAAATGTGAAGACAAGGACGTCAAAAGTTGATCTATATCCCTTAGATAGGGAATGACACGAGAAGGAATGTGCGAAGTTAAAAGGAACATAGATGAGATGGAGAAGTGCAGGGAAATTGTCCCCAGGTACGAGCTGAGCCAGTGATCAAAGTGTACAAAGTGTTCCTTGACAATCAGACTGTAGGAATAGGTGTCTAAAAAGATAAATGGTGAAGATAAATTGCATTTCTTTCAACTATCTCTCTTACTCATCCTCTCACTTGGTCAACAGTCTTTTTTTCACTGTGACGATCCCTGTTTCCTTATCATCGTTTGATAAATAACTCTTACATTTTTAAGTGGCATGTTGGTTGATTAATTCATGTGGTTAGGTTAATTCAAGATTAACCAATTAGACATTTTTAACATTTTAGAATAATTTTACATTAATGAATATTAGAACTACAATAGGCTGCTAACCCTGACCTAAGAAACGTTTACATCTTACATAGCTGTACATAGTAGCAGGTGAATTTCGGTGCCTGGTGTTGAAGATTATCTAAGAAGGTAAGAAGGTTTTTTAGTATGATATTTATGTTTACAGGAGCCATTTTCAAGGAAACATACACACAGACAAATGTATCCTGTCAAAACTTATCAAAATGATTGGTCTTTAAATGTACTTGTTACAAGCATCGTCTGCACCATACTGTCTTCATCTGCACTACACTTCCCAGAATCCTTCGTCTCCACTCCTGCACTCACTGCCTCATTTACCCTCACCTGTTCATCGGCATCATCGTCGTTATCTTTTGTGATCACATCTTTATTGTTTGATTTGTGTCTGCATTTAGTTTCCGTCTGTTCTGTTAGTCGTCGGTTCTTGTTAATGTTACATTGTATGGTGTGTGTGTTAACCTTCTGCCCATCATCCCTGTAACTGTTTGAATTGGAGCCTTCTGACTCTGCCTCTTCTTCAGCCTGCACCACACCCATGACAGTCTGGTCTGCAACCTTGGACCTATTAACTGAGCTCACAGAGCTGTGTTTAAAAATTGATAGAGGCTGTTGCCAATGCCTGACCTGATGAAGACATGAATCGCAACAGTTTGTGTAACCACAAGGCCCTTACAGATGGAAATTTAACATAAAATATTGAATATAAACCGCAGAACACTACCAGACTCTGTATTTTTTAATTTATATTGCAGAGAATTCTGGTTGTGGAGTATTTGGTAGTGTTAACGTGCTCTGTTCCAAGAACTTGTGAGCTGCCTAGATACGCTGTATTTTAAGGCATCATAGCAAAAAATGTAGAATGTAAGCGTTATTATTATGCTTCCGCATAAAAACACAGTTTTCCAAATTCGATTGCTTGCATCCTTCGCACAGAATACAATCCCATGATGGGTTCACTGAAAAAAAATAAGAAATCCAAAATGGCAGGCGAGGCGAAATAAATGTTTAGAAATACAAAACACACAGTATTTGATACATTACTGAAAAGTATTGATAAAATTTATAGTGATGGGAAACTTCTAATCAATTAGTCCCAGGATGATTCAATGAAAGCTCTAGCGTAAGTTCTGCCAGGAAGACTCACATGTTAAGTCACTTATTACCTTCAAATCTATCTAACCAATCATGTTCTAATTATTGGAGTGTAAAAGATAGGTATGTATACATGTCTGAGTTTGCAGATGCTGATGCCAACATTAATAAATGTCATTTCCTTCGTTTTGAGTCAAGTCAAGTATATTTATATAAAGTTTTTCAGTGTGTCACTGCTAAACTCAAATTCAAACGTGCAGTCGCGCTTTGGCTGGTGCTGAGCCATAGACGGACGTTCTCGGTACATTTCATATCACAAATATTTAGTGTTTTCAAACACATAATGTGTATTTGAGGTTTCATAGATGTAAATAGACATTTAAATGAAAACATATAGTTTATGGAAGACATTTATAGAAGACATTTACAGTATATATACACTCTAAAAATTGCTTGGTTGTTTTAACCCAACTTTGGGTCAAATGTGGACGAACCCAGCCATTGGGTTACATTTTTTTTTTACAACCCAACGTTTGGGTTTGTCCATATTTGACCCAAAGTTGGGTTAAAACAACCCAGCGTTTTTAGAGTGTAAAAAAGACATTTATAGTTTGTTAAATTCAAATTTCATGATGTCTATGGAACTGCAATAATAATCCTTTCAATTATAATTTGATAAAGGGTTTTGTTAATGATTAAAATAACGTTAAAATAATGGTTGCCTTAAAAAAAACTGAGCAAAGTAGAATCAAGAACATCATAACATGATGTCCAAGATCTCTCCTAATGACCATAACCCTCCCAATTGATAAGTATTCCAAGTCCAACTTGCTGCCTCGTCTTGATTTGAGGATAGAGTGTACCGAATAGATGTGGTCTTCCAATTCGATAGCAGGAGGAGGCATGTCAGCTGTGTCAGACCCTGTGGAGAAGGGAGAAGAAAAGTTTGTGAGATTTTTTTAGAGAGACACATAGAAGGTACTGTAGGTGAAATTGTGTATTGTGAAGGTAAGTCAAGGTGGTAAGTGACTAGGTTGATCTGACTTTGGTAAATGGTCCTATGTATCTGGAACTCAGCTTGTGGCAGAGCAGCAGTGTATTCCTGTGACCTTGACTAAATGTCCCCCTCTAGCCATTTATGCCATTCTTCCAACAGTATATTGATAGCGAGGAGTTCTTCAGGGCAGGGCCGTGCAGAGACCTCTGTAGGGGCAGGTGCTCAAAGTATAAAATGGGGCATGGAAACAAGGCTTTATAGGGCTGTGCTCAAAATATCAATACAGTAATATTTCAATACAGATGATTCTGCATCGATACAGCAGCAAATGCATTGATGCAGTTTTGAAAAAGAACCAGAACAGAAAAGACAAATTTAAAGTTTAAAATTAAAAAAAATAATTGATGTGCTCTATCTATAACTCTGGGATTAGAAACTGAAGCATCTTAAGTTGTTCCAACCTGATGGCTTTTTCT